TCCTCATATAAAGGACAGCAGCAAAGCACCCTATAGCCATGCTGGGGCACTGATTTAGGGATAACTAAGAGCACCACCTGTTGAATCACTATCACCACTTGTTGCAACTTTTTTTTTTTTTTTTTTAAATCTTCCAATCCAAATTCTGACCAGGTTTGACCCTATTTAGCATGTAAGAGCAGATGTGGGTGGGGACTGGCTGGCTGCCCACATCACAGAAATCGCCAGCAGAGAGGCCGAGGAGAGAAAGGCGAATGTGCTCTCTTTTGAGGCCTGGGGTTGGTCTCAGGCATAGGGGCATCATGGTTCGTGGGGAGGCTTTCATTGATGGACTTGCTCTGGAAGGACTTTAATCCGCAGGGTTGTCAGGCTGGCCTCTTTAAACAGAACGAACATTTACACACACTGAAATCCCAGTTTATTCCTAGAGGAGTAAATTTTAAAGTGAACACAAGAGGCCTATTTGCTTGTGAATTTTCTCCCTGTGTTAAGAGTCCCCTGTTTGTTCTGGGTGTGAGTTTGCCAGGTGAACTGTCTTGGGCTTGGGTAGTCTTCAAATCTGCCCCGCTATGATGAAGAAAATAACAGTTATAAAAAATGGAGTGTTTAGAAACAAAGAAAAGAACCAAAATTCCATCTTCTGAGGCAGAACCTGCAACAAAACAATCAGGGAAGTGGGCAGCATTTTCCATAGCTTCAGTTTGATCTCCTGGAGACTAAGTACTAATGCAGTAAACCGTGGGGGTTGAGATGAACCTGCCCCCTAAAAAGCAATTGAGCTACCTTGCCTCCTGGCCCTTGGGGTTTGTCAAGCCTGAGAGGGTTAAAGTCTAGTGGGATTGAAGTCACTGAGCTAAGTAACAGTTGCACTGGCTTCTGTCTCCCACTGTGTCAACCTTTGGGTTTGTTTACTTCAGTCAGAAAAGCAGAAGCTATCATATGATTTCTCTCTATAAATACACTGGGGCGTAAACACCGGGGAGGGAGAAAAGCTATTTAAGGTAAAGGACAATGTTGGCACAAGAATGAATGGCCATGGGCAAACTTAGGCTGGAAATTAGAAGGTTTCTAACCATCGGAGGAGTGAGGTCCTGGAACAGCCTCTCGGTAGGGGTATAGGGGGCAAACAACCTAACTAGTTTTATGATGGCACTTGATACATTTATGAACAGGCTGATATGACGTGGTTACTTGTGATAGCAGGGGACTGGACTCGATGACCAGGGAGGTCCCTTCCAGACCTAAGTGCTTTGTTTCACCAGGAAAGATGGAGAGGCAGCGACTGCCAATTACCACTGTGTAACTTAGGTCTTGTCTATGCTAGACTAATTTTCCTATGAAAAAAAATATCCGTCAGTGACCACTCCTCCCTTGGGGAGCAAGAGGGTAAACCAGGCACTCGCAGCCAGCAGCACACTAGCACGCTTATATGACCCAGGGCATAGGCACGGAGTTTTGTTTTTCCCTGGGGGCACTCCACCCCTGCTCCGCCCCCTCCCCTGAGGTCCAGCCCTCTTCCTGCCCCCTCCCTCCCGCCCCACCTCCCCCGGTGGCTTCACTGTTGCTCTGCCTCTTCCCTCCGCCGAGGCCCCGGCCTCTTCCCACCCTGCTCTAAGCTCTCCCCCAAGGCCCAGTCCACCCACTGCTCCCTGCTCTCTGCCCTTCCCCAAGCTCCTCTCCCAGTCACCAAACAGCTAATTGGTGGCAGCTGCCCGAACAGCTGATCGGCAACTGCTGCTGAACAGCTATGGCTAGTGGGTGCTGAGCACCCACTATTTTTTTCCCACGGACTTGGTGCCTGTGACCCAGTGGTTAAAGTGCTGTGGCCGGTCTGCAATAGTGTTGCTCATTGTTACTACCATTGGAGCTGCACGTGTGGTGGGAATGGTGAGACATTTTAGGAGAAAAGGGCTAATGTGGACACCCCCTACAACTCTCCCATATACCCAATCCAGCTTGCAGTGGGGCTAGCTGGAGCTGGGTCTGAAATAATGCGTTTACTGTGCCTGTAACATGCCTAAAACTGATTCTACCATTCTCTGAAGCCTGAAATGAACCTTTTTGAATGAGTGCATTATTGGCAGCATCAGGGTGAAGTTTTGTCATAGCCTGGCTGCTGCCAGTGGTGGAGTTTTGGCTGCTCCCCCATCCTTCCCTGTCACAATATCAAGTTTGTTTTGTGCCTTTCTTACTGATGCAAGCTTCCAAAAATGTTTCATAACCTTCAACGACTAGTGCTTTGCAATTTGTTATTCTGTGTCTCATGCTTTTCACTTTTTGGCTGGACAGATTTTATAGGATCTCAAAACTGCTGCTTAAGAATTAATTATTCCTTGACTTTTTCTTAGGTCATAGGTAGGAGAGATACAGGGATCCACTTTATCTGCTCTTGGAATACAGCCACTTCTGGGGTCACGCACACCAGCTATTTAACAATGTATTGCAACTCTGCACAATGGTTTAGGGCAGGAGATGAGAAAGAATGCTGTGTTCAGTTAGAACTGCTGGGGGAATGTCGTTATGCAGATTGGAATTACCTGAATGGCAATTAGCAGGGACATAGGAGTTAAAACTCCTAAAAATACCAAAGTCCGTAGTGAATCAGTGCCTCAGAACATTGGTGGGATGCACTGTGGTGCAGGAAGTGACATCTTAGATGTTGAGTTTAAAATTAAGGGACTCTTTTCAGCCTTCTGGGATGTTATGCAGAGAATGTGTTAGCCTCAAGTCCTGGCTGTTCTGGTCATTCCATTCCATAGAATTCCCCCAGCAGTTCTAACTGAACACTCAGTTCTTCACTTCCCGTCCTAAACTGTTGGCCACGGCTGGAGATGGGACACTGGGCAGCGTGGGCCAGGACTCTGAGGTGGTGCCAAACATTCTCTGTCTCAGTTGCTTGGCTCGCTGGCTCACATGCTTAGGGTTTTACTGATCACCAAATGTGGGTCAGGGAGGAATTTCCCCCCAAGTCAGATTGGCACTGACCAGGGAGTGGGGTCATCTTCCATTCCAGTGTGTGGATGTGGGTCACTTGCTAGGATTATCTGGGTATCTCTCATTTAACCATTTCCCTGCAATTGTGGGGGCCTTGGGCACTGCTCTACCTCAGCCCCTCCTATTCTTTGCCTGTGGTACATAATAGTCTAGTTTCCTTGGATGTCATTTGCTTTGGCTAGGGTGAACATACATCCTTTTTTAAGCCCTGTCCTGGATGGCCTGACTTTTTTGGCAAAAGTGGACAAGAGCAAATGGGACAAATGCCCACTTTTGTAAAAAAAAAGTGGGGTACGGAGCAGTGTTCCCTCTAATTTTTCCCACCCATGTGCGGAATGAATTTTGCTAGGTGCATCAATATGGAGGTGATGTGGGGCCGAGGGGTTCGGAGTGTGGGAGGGGGCTCAGGGCTGGGCCAGAAGGTTGGAGGGTGGGGTGAGGGCTCCGCCTGGGGGTGCGGGCTCTGGGGTGGGGCCAGGGATGAGGGGCTCAGGGCTGGGACAGAGGGTTAGGGTGCAGGGGGTGAGGGCTCCAGCTGTGGGTGCAGGCTCTGGAGTGGGGCTGGGGATGAGTGGTTTGGGTGCAGTTTGGCTGCGGTGGGGAGAGAGGATTCCCCTTGCCATCTCTCTCTCCCTGCATCCACACCCGGCCTGCAGGACCCTCCTGCCCAGCCCCTGAGCTCCTGGCCCGGGAGGCTGGCCCCCGGCCCCTCCCCTGCTGTTCCCCCTCCCCCGCAGCCTCAGCTTACTGCACCGCCGGCACAATGCTCTAGGCAGCGGGGCTCCGAGTTCCTGGGGCAGTCAGGAAGGAGAGGGGAAGTTGGATGGGGCGGCGGGGGGCAGGCAAGGGACAAGGAGAAGGTGTGGTTGGATGGGGCAGGGGTCCCGGAGGGGCAGTCAGGAAGGAGAGGGGGATTTGGATGGGGCGGCGGGGGCAGTCAGGGGCAGGGGTTCCGGGGGCAGTCAGGGGACAGGGAGAAGGGGTGGTTGGATGGGGGGGTAGTCAGGAATGAGAGGAGGGGTTGGATGGGGCAGCAGGGGGTAGTCGGGGGCAGGGGTTCCGGGGGCGGTCAGGGGACAGTGGATGGAGCAGGAGTCCTGGGGGGGGGAGTGTTGTCAGGGGGCAAGAAGCGGGGGGCGGGGGATAAGAGGCAGGGGCCGGGCCATGCCTGGCTGTTCGGGGAGGCCCAGCCTCTCCTAACCGGTCCTCCATACAATTTCTAAAACCCGATGTGGCCCTCAGGCCAAAAAGTTTGCCCGTCCCTGCTTTAGTGTATGGGTGCTGGTGGTGGCCTGTGAAACACAGGAGGTCAGACTCGATGATCTCGTGGTCCCTTCTGGCCTCAGATTCCATGACACTTTGTGTCCCACCCCAGAAGTGGCCACATTGCAGCAGTGAGTGACATGCTTGTTGCACATGGAATCTGTAAAGTGCACAAGGCTAGTGCTGGCACCACAGGTGTGGGCAGCTGTGACAAAACAACCTGTGCCCTGCCCCAAAGAGTGGACTGTACAAGTGTAATATGTTTCATATTGACTTTAGCCGATGGCAGAGCATTTTCTTGCAATACATTTTTTGGGCCAAAAGAATGGCTCCCCAAATCCTCTCTGGGGATTTCGTTCAAGACATTTGAGGAGGGAAGTTAGGCATCCAACTCCCATTGACTTTCAGTGGACGTTGGGCCCGCAGATGCCATTTGTGCCATGACGGTCTCCCCCAGAGAGCCTGTTTACCACTCGTGTTTATCCCAAGTTAACTCATGGGCTTCAGTGCAGCTACACCTGATTCCCACTGTCGTAAGTAAGAGGAGAGTCAGATCCAGACACTGAAGAAGTGTGTGAGTTGCAAACTCCCTGCCAGTTTTTGTCCCACTTCCCCAGCAGGTGGCATTGGCCTCTGACGCATGCACTTTCAGGATACCTGAAGGCAAGCTCTTCAATTCAGCAGGATGCTATTGGGTTTATCTATGCCCTGCTGATCTCTCCTGCTTCATTTTTATTTTCCAGAGAGACGGTATTCCAGATCTCGTCCCAAGGCAAACCTGCTGAGCTACTCTTCCCATAGCATGACGGCTCGGCAACCCAGCGAAATGGCCCTGACGCCACTGACGGAGCAGGAGGGCGAGGCTTATTTGGAGAAATGTGGCAGCATCCGTCGCCACACTGTCGCCAATGCTCACTCGGATATCCAGCTGCTGGCCATGGCCTCCATAATGCACACAGGGATCGTGATAGAAGAACCAGACAACAGTGACAAATGCCTCCTCCTGCAGCCCAGCTTCAGCCACAGGCAATGCTCCAGTGAGCCCAGTATCACTGATGGGCCGGAGGGACTGGTAGCAACGGGCAGGCAGGAACCTACGGAACTGAACTGCACATCTGTCAGCTAGAAGGGATGTCCCCTCCAGGAGAGAGGACCATGTGCATTAAACCAGACGATGGGCGGTTGTATTCCTGCTGGGAATGTTGGAGAACATGAGCCTTGGGGATGTATTTGCTCATGTTGTTGGAACAGTCTATATTCTCATGTCTCTTGGGAAGGGCGCCCTAGATTTTTATCTGACTTTCTAGGATCATTGTCAGTGGAGGTACCAGGCTGCTCCCAGCAGAGCATTCAGGACTGCAAGGGTTTCAGTGTTAAATGCCACTGTCTCTGTGTTCTGTAGAGCTCCTTCCTGAGCTGCTCAACATCCAAGTTCCACAGCTGTAGCCTCAGGTTCCCTCCCTTTTCCTTTTTGTGAAAGAAATTAATCTGAACGTTTTTCAGTCTCATGCCGAACTCCTTGGTCTCATTAAATGGAGCCCTCCTCCAACTTCCAGCAGCAATTGGAGAGGACTGTGCTGAAAGCTCACTTGGTCCTTGCCCTCTGTTGCTAGGATGGTGATGCCTGGGGTTGAGTTTTTCTTTTAAATGTATTGTACTCAGGGATTAAACTTTGTGAGTCTTGTGGAGAACTCCGCCCCAGATGCTTTGTGGTTTCTGCGGGTGGGGGTGGGATTTCCTTTCTTCTTTGCTCCCATTGCATACATGGGAGAGACTTCATCTGACTTAGCAAGAAGCCCAAATCAGAGTGAGCTAAAGCTCTGAATGGTTTTTCCTCTGACAGTATTGCCTGTCCATGTTCAGCCCCAGTGTGCACCCCCTTTGAAGTCAGTGGAGTCTTATGGGGAGTAAATGGAGGTAGGATTTGGTCCCACGTGTCCTACTTGGACTTTGGCATCAGGCGTACTGTCAGAAATGCTAGCATTGTCAGGATTCCATCATAAGGAGAAACCTAAACAGGTGGCTTCCAAGAGAAAAGGGGCAATATGGTAACTGAGGGTATGCTCCTGCATTGAAAAGGTGACTTGAAAGTGGCTTTTTGAGCCCAGGCATCCATGGGTCGAACCCTGGAGCTGACATGGGGGAAATCAGCTTTGGAATGGTGCCTGAACTTCTAGCTCTTACAGAATTTATGAAACCAAAGATAACCATCTGGGTGTAGAGACAGGAACTCTAGCTCTGTTGCAAATCCATGCAGTGCTTGTGACCTCTGATGATAGCTGGCTCATCTAAATGTTTCTTTTATCCCTTGCATGTCCTGTCTGCAGCTAGGTTTTAGTGGCTTTTGTTTTATTTGGAAAGCTACAACTGGTCCAGTTCTTAAGCAATGCTAGTGTCTGTCTGACAGTGGCATACAGTGCATTCCACTCTCACTGCTACAGAGGGACCGGTAGGTACTCCAGAAGCTGCTCCCATAAGAGTGGAGTCAACCTGCTCCACAAATCCCCCTAGATATTCTGCTGATGTCTTGCTAAACAGAATTGTAAGTGTAATTACAAGCTGCTTTAAATTTCAGACTCCATTTAAAAAGGCGACACCGCCCCATCATCTCTGAGCGTTGCCTGCCCATGTTCAGCCCCGATGTGCACCCTCTTTGATGTCCCCATGGTCATCAACATGCACATGTAGATAACAGATAAATCCATGAGTGGAAAGGTTTTCTCAACCTGCCAGGACCTGAATTCAGGGCTTTGTATTTCTCATGCTATAGGTAATGACTTTGTGTAAGGTCGGCCTTTGCAAGGTGGTGAGCACAGTTCCATTCCCATTCAATGAAAGTGGAGATTGCTGGGCATCTCTCAGGATTGGGTCTCAATCGCCCAGACAGTGTCGGGAGTAGAGATTCTTACGAGGCTGCTGTTAGCATCAGAAATACCAGGGAAGAGCCCTGAGCTCTGGAGCTCTTTGCAGCTCCTGTGGTTGGTAACTGTAGGTCTACGAATGCATTTGACAAGGGCCTGCTCCTGCCCCTGGTCAAGCTGACTGGAGTTTCACTGTTGGCTTTAGTAGAAGTGCACTGATTTGGGAGTGCAACCAGCTGTTTGGACTTGGTAGACCAGGGTTTTAGGGTTTTACTTATGTTCAAGCCTCCCAAGGAGGAGCAGCACAGAATTCAGAGTAGCAGCCTGAATAGTATGTTAGTCTGTATTCACAAAAAGAAAAAGAGTATTAGTGGCACCTTAGAGACTAACAAATTTATTTGAGCATAAGCTTTCGTGAGCTACAGCTCACTTCATCGGATGCGGAGGAGGGGCAAAAGCGGCTTTAAACCACTCTTGCTCTACCTGGATTGTGTGCCTGGGCTGTGCCACCCAGTGTAAATGAGAGCAGCCTTGGTATCTATTCTAATTTACGGCAGCTTACCCAGGCTGCCTAAGGACTGTGACAAAGCCCAGAATATTGCCAATGGCATGTATTACAAAGACTTCCCCTCAGGGTGGATTTGATTTAAATCAAATTGATTTAAATCATGATTTAAATCACTAGTCAGGAAGACTTGATTTAATCATGGATTTCTACATAAAAGTGCATTTTGGTTGGGTGTTATAACCTTAATACATATGCTTCACAACTCAGAGATAGATGTAGGTTTCATTTTTAGAAGGCACACACTATACATTTTTAAAGTGATGTATTTTGAAAACTTTTCAGGTTAGTTTTACAGCTATCTCAGAAAATGAATGATTGTTTGGTTATTTCATTTACCAAAGGTAATTGAAGCAGATATTTATGAAGTCACTGGGAGGTGAACTATCTCCAGTTCAACAGGTTAATCATTAACATTTGGAGGATTTTCTTGCCAGGCTGTATTAGGAGAAGAAATCACCAGATAGACATTTAAATTGTTTTATTTAACTAAAACAACAATATACTGTATTCTGGATTTTTTCCTTCAACAGCAAACATACAATATTTTAACAAAACAAGCATATGAATTTTTGAATTTAGTTAAACTTCCAAGTTTTTTTTAAAATCAGGTTTGTTTTTGTTAAAATTGTTTTTAACTAAAATAGTTACATGAAATATTTTTTTTAAAAAAAACAAAAATTAAATTGACTAAGTCAGCCAGGTCAACATGAGAAACTTAAAATACTGGCTTCTGCAGCTAACTCAGTCGTCTTCACCTTCATTTTCCTGTGTGTTCATAATCTGGTAAAGAAAAACAAGCTTTCCTGCTTTTTCAGGTCCCAAACGATTTCTCAATTTGGAATGATTTAGTCTAAAGGAAGAAAATATTCTTTCTACACCGGCAGAAGAAGCTACTGCTGTTAAAAGTGAGATGATCACTTCAACAGTCTCTGAATCCAAGTGCTTAAGTCACTTCCATCAGTTCACTGGTGTGACTTTCTTTAAACCATCATCAGCAAACATATATTTCTTGAATGGTTCTTATTCCCAAACTGGGTCTCTTTTACATCCCACTGCCATTATAGATTTTTCCCTTCTAGTGAGAGAATGGTCTGGTAGATCTCAAATCAATAGAGGCTACACTCAGAAAGACTTCTGGAATATGCTGCTCAGACAGTTTCTCTTTTGTTTCTACTCTCTGTCCCTCAGTTCTCACATTTATGTCCAGACTTCTTCTCCTGTCCAGATCTACTCCGCCCCCAACAATCTTCTATTCATTGAACTTTTTGAAACTTTGCACTTTTAGAGAGAGGTAAGGGATTGACTCTGTACACAAATTTGCAGAGGGACAATAAGGTTGAGGTCTGTTATTTCTCACCTCTATATGCTATTTATTTATTTTAAAACATTTTTGCTGTTTATTATCTCTGGAGACACAAATTCACAGTTTGAGAACTGCAAAACTAAGCATCTCTGATGGTATCTTCTAGACCAGGGGGTCTCAAACATGCAGAGTTATTTACTGTGGCCCGCCAAGCTCCCCGCCTGCTGTCCTGTCCTCCCTGTAAATGGTGGGGAAGGTGATTTGGAGAAGGAAGGGGGGCAACCATGATCCTTTTAGCAGCTGTGCCTGGGCTTGAGGCAGTAGCCAGGAGCAAAGCAATGCATATTTTTTTTCATAGACTCTTTCAGCACCTGGTATAGTCACATAGTTGCTGCTTGACAAATGCCAGCTCTTTCTGCACTTCTCTGGAAGGGCTCCATGGGCCTTATCAGCAGCCCTTAGTTGTCCCAGCTGCAAAGCCCCTCTGGGTAGCCTTCATAAGGAGGTCCAGCTGGCTGTGCGGGCTGACACCTAAGACGTGGGGGAGGGGTGTATGTGTCCCAGGTGGTGGTGCAGCATCTACATTGCTCCTGCTGCTTGGATGCTGCTGTCAGGGGCTCACTAGTAGATTTTTAGCTTTACCATTCACATCCTCATTGCAGCTGCCTCAGAGCAGTATGAGGAAGTGCTGCTCCGTCTTTTGGAGTTAAGCTCCAGCTGTTGCTGCTGCCCGGTGTTGTTGACTCGGTCAGTGTATGTTTGTTTGAAGCTAGAGCCAATTTTGGTAATTGCTACTTCCTGTGAAAAACAACCTGTCAGCAGAGTTCAGGAAACTCGTGATAGAGAGTGGAAAACAAGCCCTTTTCTAACACAAAAATGTGTCAGGAAGGACCTGGAGGTGGTGTTAGCTGCCCAAGTCTGACACTTCCATTGTAACTTAACTCAAAGGCACCTGCAGAGCCACATTGCTGCTTTCAAGCAACCAACCCCCCCCCCACTATATCCAGGGACTTTCCTAGAGGGCAGCGTTCCTGCAGCCCTCAGGGTTAGCCTAAGCCTGGAGCCCATGAAGTCAATGGAATTTTGACCATTAATTCAAGAGGAGCAAAATGAAGGCACTGCTGAATGCTTTTGAAAAGCTCACCCTGCTGGGCCTCCTGGGCTGTCCTCAGCCCAATGTGGATAATCAGATTCTTTGCCTTCATTTGGAAAAGGCAGGATCTCAAACCATTGTGTGAGGCACCCTTTGAAAGAGTGATGGTTGCATGGCCACCTCCTAATGCATTTCACAGAGCACCTGCCCTCCTCTCTAACAGCCTTGGATTGATGATAGCAAGTGACTAGCTGGCCAAACACTGAGAAAATAATTACTAGGGTTTAGCACATGGAGCTGAGGGGCAGCAGCACCCCTGGCCCGCCAGCAATCTGACAGTCACAGTTTGAGAAGTGGTGCCCTATATTATTTTATGTTCTAAATGCCCTTTGTAAAGCAACTGCCAACTTCCCCCCTAGAGCTGGCTGCATTCCCCTGTTAAAGGGTGAAGGGAGGGTGCAGCTGGTGTAGACTCCTCAACTATCACATACCCTATCTTTAGTGGATTCACTGGCCTGAGTGGGGTTTATTCCCCCAATAAAGGGTCAGCATCTACCCTTTGTTGGGCCCACTGCAGCATGTAGCTTCCTCCCCTCCATTTTCACCTATATACGCTGTAATAAATGGGATGGTGTTTTTGGTGAGTGCTGCCCTGCTTGTAATTCCTTCCTCAGGAGGGTCCTGATTAATGCACTTTGCCTGACCAACTTAGGTCCCACAGCTGTGGCAGCTTGGTTGTATTATAGTGCTCAGTTGGTACTCTGAGGCCAAAGCCAATCCCAGCATTGCAAAGCCGAGTAATATTAGGAGAGTTGAAAATTACTGTCATGATGTGGAGAGTTATTGGCCTTCCATAAAAATTTCAA